TTCCTCTTTTTTGCTTAAGGAAGATTGTCCCTGAGCTAACATCTGTGCCCATCTTCCTCTATTTTATAAGCCCCCACAGCGTGGCTTGATGAGCAGTGTAGGTCCATGCCTGGGATCTGAACCTGTGAACCCTGGGCCACTGAAGTGGAGTGCATGCACTTAACCACTACGCCACCAGGCCGGCCCCTTTTTTCTTGGTTTTCTGAAACTACTAAACATCTTAAGCATGGCTACAGGCTGCTTTAAGCCTAATAAATTCAATTTACAATTCTAAGCTCGAGAGCTGGTCTGAGAAACTTGTTTTTTCACTTTTCCATAACCTTTCAAAGTGCTTATACTTAACCTCATGACTTTCTACCTAAAGTACATTTTATTTTCTTTCATCTCCAGAACATCAAGATTTGTACAACTCATTTCTCTTTACTCATGAGGGGAAGGAAACCCTAACAGTCACATCACACTGCCCTGCTATCTATCTGCCACTCAAGAGGGAGGGACAGACAGAGGGACAGAGTGGTTCAGCCAGCACGGCAGTAGGGTTAGGTTGAGCGTCCCTCACAGCTCGGTCGCCTTCCCTGGACAGAGCACGTCTCTGCAGACCACCACTCACCCTTTAGACTTGGGGGATGTGCGTCTCTCCAGCAGGTGCTGCTCGTCGTCTCTGTGGAACAGAGAAGTCACTTCTTTCCAGCCTCGGAAACTTGCTCCCTGAACCTGAGGAAGGTTAAGAGAAAGATCAGATCTGACATAGTAAGTAAACAGGTGGCAGTGTGGTGGCCTGATACGCGTGGAGCTGAATTGCAGGACACGGGCACAGACTCGCTTACCTCGTGTCTGCACACGTTCATTCTTCCCGTCAGCTCCAGTGATCTCAGGAGGCAAGGGACCATAGTCCCATCAGCTTGTCCATGCTGCTCGGGACAGTCACCCACGTTTGGTAACAGACTGACCAATAATCACATTTTACCCAAACCAGGTTGGCATGACGAAGCTTCTGACACGAGTAGGACAGCTCTCTAGAAGCTTCAGGGCCTGCGGGGGTGATGGGACCTGCACTCCTTCCACAGCTAGACTTTGAAGAAGAAATGATGCATTTTTGTTGAATCTAAGACAAATGATTTTGTCTTAGCTTTTTCATTTCTGAAATAAGGATGCATCTTCTAATTAATGCCTGGCATCTTAGAGTCAAAGAGAAAAAGGAACTAATATTTCCTGAAAGTCCTGTGTGTCAAGTGCCTTTCACATGAGCTGCAACACGGCTAGGGTTGTTTTGTTTTCTTCTTTGTGGGGAGGGAAGGGAATGGAGGAGGGTATCTCACATGGGTCAGACCTAGCTTTAAAATACGTGGAAATGTTAAAAACGTAATATAAAAATGAAGTGACACTGAGAACTGACCTGCCTGACAGCACTGGAGTGAGACACCCTATTACAACAGAAAATAAAAGCACGTCCTTGACCCGCCGAGGTCACCCGATGACCAAGGTGACCCTGTGACCAAGGACCTACTACTGTGGGCAACCCAGTGCCAGGGAGAGGGTCCTGGAAAACTAACCAGGACACTTGGTAGTTCTGCCTCTGACTTCGTCAGGCCCAGCTCACAGAATCCCACTCTGGGCAGAGGTCCGAGTCCTTAGACAGAGCAGGACACAGACAGCTCCCAGTTAGAGATGCGCGTGGTCATGAATGAGGGCTTGAGATATGAGAGCAGCTGTCGTACCCACTCCAACAGAAGGCGTGATGTCAGAAAGAACGAGGGATGAGGGGTGGGTCTACCACGTCACATGCTGTACAAAAATCTACAATCACGAGAGTTACGTAATGGCTGTGGAATGCTCCTGTGCTTGCTGGGTAAAGGACTGGACACTTCGTCCTCCCCGGGGCTCCAGGATGTGATGGTGCTGCTGCAGGAAGCAGTGGTCAACAACAGAGATCCTGTCGAGAAGCCCACACTCAATGAGAACACAATTCTAGATTTGACCTGCAGACCTGGAAGGAGTCGGCGGAAGGAGTGTGAGCAAGTCCTCTGTGCCAAGTGCCCTGCCAGGATCCCCACCCAGCGCGCACTCAACCTGAACAACCACGGGATGGGTGCTATGTTGTTACAAGGGAGGAGCCTAAAGTTGAAGACCTTGAGGAACCTGAGCAAAGCAAACAGAAAGAAGTAAAGCCAGGCTGAAGTCACGTCTCAGTCAGGAGTTCTTATGTTGACCCCTCTACTTACGCTGGCCTTTCTACCGGACCTAGACCCGCCCTCATCCACACCAGTGGGTACAAACCTGTCCTACACCTGGTCACCTAACTCCCCAAATCCTCCCAGCCTCTCCTCTGCCTTTCTCCTGCTGCAGTGGCGGCACCACCTTCCAACATCATTCACTCCACACTCCCCTCAGTGCACTAAAGGGAGTCCTAGGATTCCATTTCTGATATCATAATGAAAGTTCATAGGAAACAAGAATTACCGAAATTTAAATCATTACCCCGTGTTTCCACGGAAATTATCAGGAAGAAGATACAAAGAATAGTCTCTAGTTAACAAACTTTAAACAGATGTCCCAGAAGAGGAAAAGCTAACAAATAAAAGCAAAGTAAATTGAGAGAGAAAACTTCCTAGGAATGTAGTAACAGTGAAGGTGGATGTTGAAAGGGGTAAATCGTCTCACTTAGACCCAGAAATTCAAATGTAAAGTCACAAGATGGGGGGAATGAAACTTGATTCAGCTGCAGAATACAACAAACAAAAATGATGGGGTTAAAATCAACAGGTCAGCAAGGACTGACGGGAAGCCCCGAGGGGCAGTCTGCAGCCCTGGAAGAGTCGACAGCAAATTCAAGGCTGATTTGTTTCTAATCACTAACTAGGGTCTAGTTTTTTATGAAATGGAAAGTAGCAGATTACTTATTTGGGATGCTCTCTCTTGACTAATCAGCACTTCTGCACACACCTACATACACACAGGCGTTTGGGGGTCGAGCAGATCAACCTGTTAACAGAATGTTATCCGAGGGTAGGACTGCTGTTGGTTTTATTTTAGAGAACGCAGCACACTCATGAACACAGGCTGTGTTAGCAGCAACACGCCCCCTCGTGCAGCCCTGTCTTCACAGAAAGGGCGCTGACCGTGGACAGACCTCCTCCTGGGGAGCCAGCCGAGTTGGGGCAGGAGGGGCTTGTGGAGAACGGACCTCAGAGGAAGCAGGACAGCGGGAAAGACAAGACTGCCAGGCCGCCCTGGGGCTCCAGGCAGGAGCAGCGCTCACGGGACGGGTGGGCCCTACGTGAGCAGATCCAGCCCCAGTTCGTGAGTTTAAACGTGCGTCACTGGGTTAGGACTGCCCGTCCGCAAGGAGCCCTCAGAAGCCTGGGGTTCAGCCTTCCTCGCTCACAGCTCAAACACCATCGTGCTCCGCGGCCTGTGGGTCAGCCAGGCCTGGGGCTGCTGGAAGCACAAGTGAAGGTGGACACCTGAAAACGGGGCGTCCCTGAGAGGGTGACAGGACTTGAGAGAACGTCACCGAGGAAACGAGCAGAGTGGAGGCTCATTCATTGTCACCTCACACAGACAGACACTGTACTATAGGCCGGACGCTGCTTCTCAGCATTCAGGAGCCTCAGCCACCCAGAGCAGTATGGAGAGGCATGGATGGATCAAGGTTCCCTGCATCCAGCACTTTCCAGAAAGAATCGACCACCTGCCTCCAGAGTCCTGCAAGGATCCCAGGCTCCGATGGAAACCTCTCCTCACACCACCAGGGCACTCACTGTATTTCACATTCCTCTGCCACTGTCACTAGACTGAAAGTTTCTGGTTGGAAGAGACCTTTTAATGGTGTATCTTGCTGAATTATCAGGATGATCTGGGGGAAAAGACGACGTCTTTACATCCACATCTCTGCTGCAAGGCCTGGTACTACAGCTCGCCAGGCAGGCATCTGACATTTTCAATAGAACTGAGTACGTCAGGTGTCATGCTGGAGCATACGCTGTATAGAATCGCAGATGGAGTAAACTCGGGCCACGTAAAGTGTTTCTGGAGAGCAGTCAGTTCTGAGGCTGTAAGCCATGTAGATCCTCTCAACTCCACTCATACACTGAAGATGATGCCAACTCGTTCAGACTCCTTGAGCTTTCCATGCACTGAGACACCGCGAGAGTGCTGGGCAGCGAGACTGCTCAGATGGAAACAGTCACGCACGTTCCAGTTAGGGGTAAGCACACGGCCTCTGTCCCTGCCCCACCCAACCCCCAGTGAGATTTGGATGTATTCATTCACTCAGTAAATGTTACCTAATGTGGCAGACAAGAATTTATTCAAAGCTAAGAAAGTACTTCTGCATTATTCACAATAGCCAGGACATGGAAACAACCTAAGTGTCCATCGATGGATGAATAAATAAAGAAAATATAGTATGTATATATATATATACACACACACACACAATGGAATATTACTGAGCCATAAAAAATAGGGAAACTCTACCATTTGTGACAACATGGATGGACCCTGAAGGTACTATGCTAAATGAAATAAGTCAGACAGCGAAAGACAAATACTGTATGGTCTCCCTTATATGTGGAATCTAAACAAAACACACAAAAAACACCAAACTCGTAGAAAAAGAGATGAGATCTGTGGTTACAGACATGGGGAGTGGGGGAGGGTAAGTGGAGGAAGGTGGTCAAGAGTTCCTCTCGGATAAATAAGTCCTCGGTACTTAACGCACAGCATGGTGACCGCAGTTAATGGTGCTGCAGGATACACAGGAAAGTTAGCCGAGTGGGTCCTAAGAGTTCTCATCCCAAGGAGAAATGTTTTTCTTTTCTTTCTATTGCATCTAAATGAGATGATGGATGCTAACTGAACCCACTGTGGTAATCATTTCACAACGTATGTCAATCAAACCATCGTGCTGTACCCTTAAATTGACACAGTAATGTATGTCAATTATTTCTCATAAAACCAGGGTGCACAGGAAGCCCTGGTGCAACCACTCCCTAGCCTACAGGCTAGAAACGTACCACGGATCACCGAGATGACCCACGTGATGCGATAAGTCTGAGATTTAGGCCACAGAGCTGAGGGCAAATCTCTGACTTAGTATTATACAACTAGCAAATAAAACCACCACCAAAAGAAGCATCCTGCAACATTATTTTAAATAATAAAAACCTCAACACAAACCACACGAGCCCTTCCCCGAGTTCAGTGCCTGAGGCCTAACTCTGCATGGAAATACCCCTGGTGTTTATAGGAACGGGGGACTAGCTTACAGCATTCTCCCCACTCCCCTCTCCCCTGCCCTCAAATTCCCCTACTTCCTGTGGATTCTCACGTGCAGGTGAGATACAGAAATGCACTTACCCTCTGGGTGGGCGCAGAGATGTGCGTGTGGCGCACAGCTCCTTCTCCCTCTGAGTTTCACCCCCCACCTTTACGTGGAGGAGTTTCAGGACCCGTCTCAGACTCTGAACTCTAACAAACCTCAGACCCAAATCTCCCATTGGACACTACCCACTGGACACTTCCATTTACATGTCCAGTCGATACCTCCACCTCACTGCCCCTTGAGAAGGGCAGCTTTCTTCCTGCCTCTCCTGCCCACCAGCTTGCCTCAGCTCCCCCGTTTCAGCCAGGCTCTGAATCTGTAGGTAGTCCCACCCCTTGGACACCACATCCGTGCCTGACGTGAATCTACACTTCCGGTTGTGTGAACTCAACACCAGTGCCACTGCCACACATCTTGCAAGAGTGCTGGAAATAGCTGCCAGGTGACCTCAGAGTAAGACTCCATGCCCCCCACAAGCAGACGTCCCGGGTCATAGCTGTGACAGTGCCCTGGAGACACCCCGAAGAAGTCAAAGACAGAACAA